AAAGAAAATTCCACCAGCAATTTTAATTTGGCAGTGCACTTTCTGTCAATGCTTTCCTTAAAGTGAACTAAAGCTGAGTTACTATAAAATCAATCTCACTGTAAATACCCTAGTGTCCTACTATCACAGTGGTTAAACACAATGATAGTCTCTTCAGAGGATGATTAAATGCAATCAGAGAGTTGGTAGTTATCCCCGTGCTAGTGTTAATCTACCTACAGCACTGCAGCTTGAACAATTTGGCCAACAGAAGGCACGTATCAGGGCTTCCTGGCACGTTTGTTTAGGTCATGCTTAAGTCTACACTCTTAGGCCTTTGTTTGCTGCTGTGTGGACTAGGTTAAAACTAACATGGATAAGCCTTTTTTCCCTAAACTCACACATTTATTTGTTGTGTGACCTGCCCTCAGTGCATATCACATTCAGTGAATACCCATGATAACGGTGTTTGTTTCCTCAAAGAGAAATTTGGACAAATTTATTCTTCAAAGTAAGCAAAAGGTCACCTTGATCAGCAATTATTTCTTTAGAAGTCTGGGTTAAGGATTCTTTTTTGGTCTTTTTTTTTTTTTTTTTTTTTAAATTGATCTAGTGGATTAGGGAAAAAACCTACAAGTAAGTAGACTTCTGTGTTAGCCTAGTAGATCTCGTGGAATGAACATTTGTTACTTTATCTCTGAAGATTTTAGGGTGTGTTTCTGAAAATGCTGTCAAAAGTCTATTTAGCATGTACCAATTGGCAATTTTCAGCTGGAATCTTTTTTGGGTTTGCCACTAATGTGTCTCTAGCCACTCACAGTAGCTAGAGTGATCTCAAAGCTACCAACAATTTCAGTTAGGACTGAATTTAAGTAGTAGGTCCCTTTCAGCAGCTATTTCTCTTTAAAGGAAGCCTAGTTCAGAACTGAGGGTCTACAACTCTACATTGGTTGTGATGCTGAGGAATTGTTGTAACCCTAGACTGTGTTGATATAAACCTAGCTTGCTCTATATGTCTCCCAGATGTGCTTGATCATACCCAAGAAAGTCTGTGAGACTGAGGAAGAGAAGTACTTCATAAGAAGTGTTATTATGAATATTATTGGCCATATTAAACCATATAGAGCAACCTGCTCTAGGTGATCCTGTTTTAGCAGGGGGGTTGGGCTAGATAATCTACAGAGGGTGCCTTTCAACATCTACCAGTCTGTGATTCTGTGATATTATCAGTTGATCCATAATATTGAGTGCACAGAGCAGGATTAAGGTCTTGACTTGTGTTTAGGCTGCTTTCTGTTAGTAGTGCATTAATATAGGATTTTTTCTGCATCTGATAGTTGAGAGTTAATAGTCACACTAGAAATTAAAAAAATACATTTCTGCCCAAACATGTCTCCTTAGAACTTGAAGGATTTGCTTATTGCCCTCCTTGTTTCATGTCTCTGAAATGAATTCTTGAACATGATATTTAACTGTTTTTAACAAGGTGGTTCTGCTTGCTCTTTTCAGCCTGTCTAGTCTTGAGGTTGAATTGCTGTGTAAACTTTCATAATAAGGATTAAGGACTGTATTCTGTTCAGGAAGGGGAAATCATTTTCCTGTCTCACAGATGTACCCAATTAGGGTGGTTGTTCTAAAGAGGAAATAATTAGTAGCATTACTGTTAATGTAAAAACAAACCAACCGAAACAGATTGAAAACTTTAAGAATAAACACAGGTATTCATTTGTGCATACACATATGTGTGTGTACATATTTGTATGTGTGTGTAATATGCTTGACATATACAAAGGTGATGAGACATGCAAGGCATATGGTTAGATATTGTTGCCCACCACTTTTCTTTGTGAAATTTTAAGTCCTGCGTTGCAATTTTGGAGTGAAAATACATTCACTGTCACTCATTAGAATGCCTTACAAATGGAATGCTGTGTAATGGATGCTGTCACTAAAACTGCATTTCGGATTCAACTGCCTCAACTATCTGTTCTGAGGTGTCTTTTCTTTGGCTTTCCTGTTTATGGGTTTGGTTTTTTTTTTGGCTGTTATGTTTGTTTTTTTGGTTTTGTTGATTTTTTTTTTTTCAGGCTGCTCTCCAGGTGGGTGGTCACGGAGAGAGATTGCATCAGTGCCGTGAGGTGACACTTTTAACATACAAGTCTATTCCCATGCAAGTGGATGGTGAACCATGTCGATTGGCTCCCTCACTCATTCGAATCTCCTTAAGGAACCAAGCCAACATGGTGCAGAAGAGCAAGAGGAGAACATCCATGCCTTTGCTGAATGAGTGAGTTGGATAGGTGCATGTCCTAATGGCAGGAGGCCTGTTTGGGGCAGCATATTCAGTCATGGATTTTGCATGTACTGGACCTGCAGCGCATTTACCAAAAAAAAAAAAAAAAAAAAATTCACTCCTCCTAAACTCCCTTTCCACCATATTGTAAATACTTACCTGATTTTGTTTTATTCTTTTATCTTGTGGGTTACCCTCTATCTTGCTTTTAGAAAGGTGTTGTATCTTTCAGTTATTTAGAGAAGTTTGTGCAGGCTTAGTAGTGTGCCTCTTGGATTCTGACAGTTCTGCATGTGTATGCCATTTGCCTTTGAAGTTCTTTTGGTTCATTTTCTCAACGTTATTGAGCTGCTTTTTAACCTCTGATGGAGATCCTGTAACAAATTCCAATAATCAAGAATTACTCAGGACATCTTGTAGTCTCTGTTGTTGGACCGTTTATGGAGAAGGACCTGGAGGCCCACAAAGGGCTGTTTTCACTTTGCAGGGAATTCTGCTCCAGTATAAAAAACCAAATGAGAAATGAGTAGTCTAAAGATGAATAGAGAAAAGCTAAGATAACTGGAAACCAGGAACATGTGAAGAAGAAAAGACAGGGCTAACATTCTTTTTCATAATTAAACCTCATTTGTAAGCACTGCAGAGATATTTTAACACGCACACATACACACTATCAAATTTTGTCCTGTGAAAATGTCTGCTAATAAAATAATTTAGATTATTTTGTAGAGCTGATTATTGTATTTCTCATATAGAAGGCCTTCATCGCTGCTAAAGTGAGTGACATAGTAAGTGCCTTTGCTGTTTTTCATCAAGTATTCTTAAAGTGAAGCCAAACAGTCTGTCCCTTCTACAAAGATACCAAGCCTAAAGTTATCAAGGATCCACATTTCATTCAAACATCCATGTACTGAGGATTTCATTTTTTCTGGGGAGGTGGATGGGGGATTTTGCTGTTGCAGTTGTAACGTGAGGCAAGGTTTATGAAGAGATGCAATATCTTTCATTAGACTAACCCATACAACTGGAAAAAACAGACAAGCTCTCAGGCACACCTTTTCTCCTCAGGTATCTTAAAGGTTGCCTGTGTCTTTCAACTGTATCATCTAGTGGCAGACATTGCTTCACTTCAAACTTTGACTCCAGCCCTTTAGAGCTTCTTGTCATCCACTGGTTGTCAATCTGTTCATGTAATCAAAGCCTCCCTGGTTCTTTTCCACATCTTCCTGTTCAATTTAGCACTCTGTGTTCTCTTACTGAGACTAATGCTTGAAGCTTCAGTAGAAACCCATATCTGTAATGTGCAATTACTATTTGCCTGGAAAATACATATGGTATACTCATCTCTTGTGTGCAGTGAAGAATAGCAGACTCTTGCCTGTGGGCAGCAATGCCCGATTTCATCCAGCCACAACTCAACCATTTGCGAAAGCTAGAATCGAGCAGAGAGCAATCCTGGGGCATCTTTTTCTACACTGAGAGAGGCTAATGCAAATGTAAAATGAAAATTCCTGGTATTTTGATCTCATAATTAGCATGGTTAGGCTTGGATTTTGAGATCTGAATTTAAACTGTGGTAGGGAAATATAGATTCATAGTCTATGATGTCAGTTGTCAAGAGGATCTTGTTTGTGGTTTAGTTTGATTTCAGTGTGCTATGGTAGACTACATTGCTGTCAGTACTTTGATTTGGCTGAGATATTTGCCTGCAGACCCATATCTTGGGAAAATACAAATGATCTGTCAGGGACTCTAGTCTCAGCCTCACATATCAGAAATGGTGTGTGCATATATTTATATCTACTTCTATACCTATATATCTGTGTGTGTGTGTGTACTTTGCTTTCAAGTGTTGAAGGAGAATGAGAGACAGGAGTTGAATCCCCTGATGTGATAAAAAGTAAATGGCAATTTAAGGGTTAAACTCTAGGAAGTATTTAGTATTATAAGAAGTTCATTCAATATGATGCTGATTTGCAGTATTTCACAAGAGAGAAAATTTTCAATTAAATATGTTTATCTACATTTCTTAACTGGATATCTGGAATATATCTCCTTATTCCATTGAAATCTCCCAGAAAGCCTTATATTTGATTGAACACGATAGATTGTTCTCTTATGACTGTCGTCTGAATGTTAGATGTGTGAGATAAGTAAGTGGGTCTGGAGCTATCCCACTAATTTTTAGACAGCTGTTCTTGAGCTCCTTGCCAGGAAAGTGATTAAAAAATTATCTCACATCACAGTAATGCAGAGTTGCTATTATTTTTGGCTTTGCTATTATTGCTAGATAAGAAGAGCAATAGGAATGCTCTTTGGAGTTTTAGCTAGTCCAGTGTCATAGATAGAAAAAGACTTAATCTGAACAAGTCTTATACTGTGTTTGTGTTTTCTTACTCTGTTCTCCTTTGTTCTGCAGGTTTTAAGGAGAGGGGGTTTAGAGAGGATAGTGAGTTTGTTGTTTGCCTTGTGGATACACTTGAGTTTCCAGGGAGTAATAGTATTCTAAAATTGAAGAGCCCATATGTAATGTAGCTGGGTGAGAAGAACAAACATTTCATGCTTCTCTCACTTGGGAGTGGGAGAGCTTTAGAAACATGATTCTCTTCTGGCTGAAAGAATTGCCCATCTTCCTGATTGCAACTGTTCTCCTTTAAAACCTGTAGATGCTCTGAGAGGACACACATATATGAGAAAAAGGGATCTGACCTTGTTTGACGTGTTTTTCCTTCCATTTTCCCGCTCTTGTGCATCCAGCACCTTCCAATTGCATGAGGTGCCTCATGTGGTTCTATGCAGACCTTCAAGGTTGAAACTCCTGTATATTGAGAGTCCTTGTTTTATTTGTTACTGAATAATTCGCCTTTTTCATGGTGTGGGGAAAAAATTCAGCAGCATTTTTGACAGTGTAAAAGTTCCTAGTCTTTCCTAGTCTTAAAAAACAAACAAACAAGGAAAAAAAAAGGTTGGCCATGGAATCGAATTAAGGAATAAAAATCTAGTGTTTCTGTGGGGCTGCTTAAACTGAAGGAGCCTCCCTTCCCTGTTGACAGCAGCAGCATGAAAAGCTTCATCAAAGCTATTAGGGAACAAGTAAATATAATATGTGCTGCATTTTGTCATAACTGGGCAAAGTACTGGCAATTAATATTTTATTCAGTTATTTCATCTTTCACTACTGAATTGCCTTTAAATAAGATTCTCAGTGTATTAATTATCCTGAACTATTCATGAACTAGTTGATGCAGCTAGTGATCTTTTTTCTTACTGTTCATCAAGCATTCATTTTTTTTAATTTTTCCTTAAAAGCTAAGCTGTTTTGATGTGACACACAGATTATATGACTACTCTTGAGCAGATGAGGATGATCTGCTTATGGTTTGTACTCTTCTGATATAACTTTAAAATTTTGATTTGAAGCATAGTGGAGGAAAATCATTACTTGGTGAATACAGTTACAGTGCTTCTAATTTGTTTCTAATGGAGGCTGTCCAAACACAGGCATAATCTCTTCCTCATGCTACAATGCATTGCTCTACAATGGAGATAAGTAACAATCCAATCAAGTGTTTCAAGCCAGAAGCAACTTTTTAGGTGCAAGGAATGTTCAGGATAGGGTGATGCTATTTACTCTTGGTTATGGATTTGAAACATGGCAGATAGCAGGGTTGGGAGAAAAAAAAAGGTGGGTTTATTTTCTTTTCATATGTCTTTTCTGTTTGTACAAGCAAATCAAATTTTTGCTGCAGCCAGATCAGCAGACTCAGTTTTTCTGGAAAAGATTGAATTATGTTCTTATTCTCCTTCCCTTAAGAGACTTGCTGGCTAAGTTCTCATTCCTATTTTCCACTATTGATCCTGGTAACATGTGAAAGAGACAACATACTGGTTTTCTGTGATCAAGCCAAGAATATGGTTCTTGTGAGCTATAAGCAAAATGTGTGTGGAATAAGAAGAGAAGCTGTGGTTCCATTTTCCAGGAATCATTTTCTAATTAGAAACTACATTTTAGTATGCTGCTCAGTAAGTTTCAGTTAATGATCACTTTCTGAACCTCAAAAGACAGTATTTTGCTTTCACTGGCTTTTAGTTTGGGTTGAGGAATAATGTCCTGCATGATGGAAGAGAAAGAAGAGGCAAGAGTTTATAGATAAAACATATTCCATACACTTTAGAGAAACAGAGGGACCATCTGAGTATAAACACTAAAAGACAGTCAGTCTTGGGAGTCACTATATATAAAATGCGTGTTTCCCTAAGGTACATGACAGAAGAATGGAGACAGCAATTTGTCATTGTGGATACAAAATCTCCAGTAAGGGTATTTTTCTTCTTAAACTTTAACTAAAGTTGACCAACCTTTGGAGACAATTCCATCCATTCAGATCTTGGCTTTGATGTTTGTTTGCATTTCTGGACCTGCTTCCAAAGTCTGCTGCCTTGAAATTTTTCAGTGCCTGTGGAACAAGTCCTGGGGCTCCTCGTCTTCCTCGTATAGCTGTGTGCCTAGCTTGTCATTGATACTCCTCACTCATGTCTTTAGAAAGCTCCTGTGTGCCATGTAGCAGTGATTTTCTCCATTTGCATGTCTTCTGTCGCTTTTGGCTTCCTAGTGTGAACTTGGAGCTCTGCATGTCTCTTCATTCAACTTTTATGTGACACATTCCTTTTGTTTCTGTTTAAATGTTGTATGTCTTTTTCTTTCTTCTCTTCCACTCTTTCTCTCTCTCTCCCCTGCCTTTTTCCTTGTCTGTCCACACTGTGCCCTGCCTTTCTCCTGGCCACTCATTTCCTGCTGCCTATAGTATCCATAAAGTGCAGTCTGCTGACCTGAGGAGAGTTTCAGCTCCCCCCGATTCCTTCACTGTGTGAGTATCTGGCTTTTTTCTACTTTCGAAGTTCCATAGTTTGTTTTGGTTTTTTTTGCTGTTACCCTGTGTGTCATTCAACCAGGAGATGAGGCAGTAAAATCCAGTGACAAGTGGGAAGCAGGAGCTCAGGTGACAGCATGGCAGGCATAGGGCAGTGGCCTCACCAGCAAAGGCACAGTTCCACAATACCCAAGTAAGGTGAGCCGGGCATGTCTGGCGGTGGTGACCAGGTTCAGCCAAGAGTCCTGCTCGCCAGTCAAATCCATAGAAGCAGGCAGTTCTGAAGTTAAGCACCAGGCACCATCCCTGGAATCAGTTGAGATGAGAGCTTTCCATCCTTTGGTTTTAATCAAAAATATACTGTGAACAAACTCAGTCATAAGCCATATCTCCAGATAGAGCTGATCTCTCAGCCATTTTTTCAGATAGAGCTGACCAAAACAGGAAACTAGTTCCCCAGAGGAGTAGCATGATGTTGTCTGCAGCTGTGTTGAAGATGGAGGACCCACACACACACTTTAGCAGTATCTTGATTGTCAGCAACTCCACTGTACTAACTTGCTAGATAATAGCTAAATTATTCAAAAGTCTAACATCTTTTTTAAAATGCGGTGAACTGGCACTTAAGAATACTTATACCATTGTATGTTGGTATCTTCTTATTCATCCCATTTATGGAAACATGCCGTATTTTGAAAACCTGTGTGTGTTCACATTTAAAAAAAAACAAACGCACACAACAAAACCCCCCAAAAAACCCAAACAAAAACCCCATCACCCCCCCAACCCAAACAAAAAAACAAACCCCAGCTTAATATAACGTGTCATCTCAGGCAGTGTCGTTTGTCTTCAGAAACGCTTTTTTACTATTCAGTCAAAAAGAACATGTTTTGCTCTGTGTTGACATCCCTTTTGTCTTCTTGCTTTGCCTCTCTTATGATGGATATCTTTTCAAACAGGTTAGGACTATCAAAGAAAGGAATTTGAAAGACATGTTGGAAAATAGCAAATTTCAGAGCTATAAATCCAGGTATTCAGAGCAGAAACTTGATTCCAAGAATGATTCCTATTCTACCATAGAAGAAAGTCAATGGTATATGCTAAAAGAAAACCCACCAAAACTCCTCTGTTCTGAAGACTGAGCATGTGCAATAGATGGTGTATAAAATGTTCTACATACTAAGAGTTAATTGGGAAAACTAATTGAATAATTTTAAGAGCAAATGGCAGCTTTATAGAAAAGGACCTGGGAGTCCTGGTAGACACCCACTTGACCATGAGCCAGCAATGTGCACTTGTGGCAAAGAAGGCTAATCGTATCCTGGGCTGCATCAGGAGTGTTGCCAGCAGATCAAGGGAGGTGATCCTTACTCTCTACTCAGCACTGGTGAGGCCACACCTGGAGTGCTGGATCCAGTTCTGGGCTCCCCGGTACAAGAGAGGTATGGAGCTACTTGAGACAGTCCAGTGATGGGCAATGAAGATTACTAAGGAGCATTCCTCCTATAAGGAAAGACTGAGAGAGCTGGGTCTGTTTAGCCTGGGGAAGAGAAGGCTCAGGTGTGATTACATCAATGTCTATAGGTATCTCAAGAAAGAGTCTAAAGAAGACTGAATCAGGCTCTTTTCAGTGGTGCCCAGTGACAGGACAAAACACAATGGGCACAAACTGAAACACAGGAGGTTCTCTGTGAACACCAGGAAAAATGTTCTTACTGTAAGGGTGATTGAGCACTGGCACAGGTTGCCCAGAGAGGCTGTGGAGTCTATCTTTGGAGATACTCAAAAGCTGCCTGGACTTGGTCCTGGGTAGCCTGCTCTAGGTGGCCTGCTTGAGCAGGGGTTGGACTAGATGACCTTCAGAGGTCTCTTCCAACCTCAACCATTCTGTAATTCTGTGAAATTTCAGAAAGCTGCAAGTTCCTCATTGTTATTTTGCAAACAAGAAAAGATTCCAATTCAGTGTGCCTTCCCCCCGGATCATATTTGCTGTACTCTGCTGAGGAGCAGAGAAAGTAATACAGATAACTTGTCTCACTGATTCAGTAGCTAAGCAAGCTTCTAGAAAAAAGTTGAAGCGTTATTACTTAGACAGAACATTAAGCAAGCTGTGGGTCTGGGAGAATGGGTATTGTTTCCAAGTTGAGGGAGATCCCTTGGAAAATGACCTTCAAGTTTTGATACTGTTCATTTGAATGTCTCACTTTTGATATCAGCTGTCAGGATAAGGCAGGGAGAGAGAGACTCGTGAGCCCCAAACTAATTTGTAAGTCAAAGATGTTCTGTATCTTAAAATCTGTAAAAATAGATTAAACATGCTGCTGCACTGTGGCTGCCAATTAATGTGTCTGGCAAATTAAAATAAGAACCCATGAGGTATTAGGGAAATTTGATTTGGACTGTGATGGCTTTGAGATTCAAATGTTCTTTTTTTTTTTTTTTTTTTTTTTTTTTTTTGTGTTGAACAACAAAGAGTGAGCCTGACTTCTAGTTAGTACTGAACAGCAGGGCAGATTCTGCCAAGACCTGATGATGGATACAGCCTGTCTTAGACAAATTTCAGGTTTTCTGCAGCAGGATATGAGTGGGAATTTGAGGCAGCCAAAATTGTTAGGCACATATGGTCTTTGTTGCAGAGACAGTAGAACTGTAGTGTGATCCATTTCAAATGTTTATACAGGGTGCATAAGTAAATACAAGTGTTATATTTTTAATTGAGGCTCTTTTAAAAGGAAGGTAAAGGCTTGCATTTTCCAGCTGGCTGTTCAGTTGAGATGAGAAGGATGTACATGTCAGAGTACATTTGCATTGTGTGGTTGATGCAAAGGAGTTCTGAAAAAAAAATACCATTTGGAAAATAAAACATAATTGACTTATGTAGCCCTTACCATCCTCTTACAAGTGAAATAAGCACTGTGGATATACTGTGATTTTTATTTTTTTAATTACAGAGTCTACATAAATGAAAATTCAAGTATCACCTTATTGGTAAATAGTTTATACTCTTTTATACAGTTTACAGAGTAATGATTGCAGCAAGGTATGCATATAAAACCTGTGTGAATAGCAAGGGAGTAATAGGAAATAATTTTTTGATTTTATCCAAATGCCAAACAGAAGCAGCTTTGTGGGTTAGGTTGAATATGAGTGTTGTCTGTAGGAGGAGATTCTAATAAAGAATTGTAGGAGACAAGGCATAAGGGAGAAAGTGTTAGTGAGCTATTCTCCAAATGCATAGGTAAGGATGAAAATGCTTATATATATTTTTTCCCTTTTCTCCATTACATGAATTATAGGTAATTGAATCTCATCTTTTCTTTGTCAGTTTGTCCTGTTTAGCATGTGGGCTTCTGTTTAGTGAGATCATTACTGTTGGAGAATCCACTGTGCTTGGAAGCGTAAAGTGCGAGAGAACTACAGCTAGCATGGTGAAGGAGAAAGAAAACGATGATCAGGATTCTACCTGGCGCTTTGGCACGTGTTTAAGTGTATGAGTGGCTCTAGCCTTTATAAAGGAAAATGCTCAAGCACTTGCTGAAGCAAGTGTGAAGTAAGAAAGTGCAAAAGAGTTTAGTGTGGTTGGGTTAACCTGGCTTATCTGGGGTAACACTCATCAAATGGAAAAAAAAAACATGTGGTGGAGCTTATATTTTTAATGGTGTTTTTTTAGGTAAAGAGCTTAGCAAGAGCTTTGCCTTAAAATAGCAGAGGACTTTTGTGAAGCACTGAAATTTGTCCATCAGAAGAGGCTGGATGATTCTGCTCTGTTGTGGCAGTTCTTATGTTTTAAGTAGATAAATGCTGTGAAAAACACACTTATTTTTAATGTATCGTTTCCAAGCCCTACCAATAAGATCTCAAAAGGTTAATTTCTTTCTCCTCTGGTTGCTGCTTTCCTTTTTGCAATTGTTCTAAACACTGGAACATTTAATTAATTTTGCATGTTTATTTCTTCTCTAGGAGATAGGTAATTCATTAATCTGTCACTGCAAATATGCCCCAGAGGAGCATGCTTTTTTCCTAAAGTTTATTTTTTGCAAGGGAGGGACAGTAGAAGATTTCCTCTTCCTTTTCTGTTTACTGAATCAGTAAAATCTGTATGCGTGCAGGCTGGTGTGGGCTGTATTCTGGAAGATCAATCAGAAATTTGCATCTGGATTTTGTAGAGTTGTTGGACTGTTTATTGTTATTATTTCCTTTCTCTATGCAGACACAAAGCATAAGAAATGGTTCATAGGGTTCATAAATAATTGAAATAGGGATTAGGGCATATATGATTTAGAAGTCTGTCTTAGTTGAATCAAACCTGGTGGCATGGCAGAAGTGTTATCAGGTTGCTCTGCAGGAGCGCCAAGGGCAGGACCTAAGCTTGCTCTGCCTGTTTTCTTTCCGGGATGACTGGAGGTAGGAGCATGTTTCTTAGGAAAAACAGCTGGTGCTCCAAGTGAGTTGGCTGGCATCCTCTTGCCTGTTGCTGGATGATTAATAGGGGTGAGAAGAGGAAGTCACAGCTTCATCAAAAGTGTTTTCTTGGTGAATGGAAGTAGATCAGGTTCTGCTGGTAGTTTCAGAATAGGTATGTGTGGAATTGCTTCTGTGGGTTTGAACAAGTGGTGGAATAAAAGGGATTTAAAAAAAAAAAAAGCCCTTCTCATTCTTTCCTGTCAAAGCTCTGCGTTTTTACGTTTTGGTGGTTTTTTTGTGTGTGGGGGTGGTGGTAACACTTCCAGAATCCCAAACATGCTATAGTTCAGGCATAGGAGGGAAACAAATGCATACCTTTTCTTTGGTAAGCAACTTCCAGCAGTGGGGTGGGTGGTGTTAAAAATGGCTTTTACCTTATAAACAGTTTATCTAGCATGATGTTGACTTTCTAAGACCTATCCCTGCACGGGGTTGAGAGGTGGGCCCATGCACACCTCATTAAGTTCAACAAGGCCACATGCAATTTCCTGCACGTGGGTCAGGGCAATCCCAAGCACAACTACAGGCTTGAT